GGGGTGGGAGGGAGGGAGGGAGGGAGGGAAGGAGGAAACCCATATCTAGAATGCATGCCCGGGAGCCCAGCTACTCAGGAGGCTAAGGCAGGAAGACCTCAAGTTCGAGGCCAGCCTGAACAATTTAGTGAGCCGCTTTCTCAAAATAAAAAGGGCCGGGGACACACTACAGTGGCACAGTGCTCGCCTGGTACTGGCAAGGCCCTGCATTCCATCTCCAGCACCACAGAAAAGAAAAAACAAAAATGCCTGGTGACAAAACTAGACTCCCACTGCCACCTGCAGGGAGGGGTCAGAGCCGCAGCCCAGCACGCAGCCTGTGTCCCCGGAAGCACAGACTCGGGTCCCCTGCGCCTTGGGCTGTGGGGCTGAGCAGAATGTGCAGGAGCCTCGTTTCAAGGGCAGGGACTGCTCATGCCAGGAGCTGAGCACATCCCTGAAGCACTGCGGTGAACACGGTAGGGTAATAGGTCTCAGGGCTCTGCGACTGCACAGAACCCGGACAGCTTATGTCGAGGCGCTTCTACTACCCACGATTACATCAAGGTCTTACTTAGGCTTCCGTCAGAAAACATTTGCTTTAGAGTAACTTTTTTTTTTTTTTGATTTTTGGAGACAGGGTCTTGCTATGTAGACCAGGCTGGCCTTGAACTCAAACTGTAGCCCAGGCTGCCCTTAAGTTCACAATGATCCTCCTGTCTCAGCCTCCTGAGTGCTGAGATTAGGAGTCACTGGTGTTTTTGGGGGGTTTTTTGCCACTGAGCTAAGACCACAGCCCTACACATTTGCATTAACCCTACTGAAATAATCCAACTCCTCACCAGAGTAACCCAACAAAGAAGGTGTAAGCAGACTTACCACTTTGAGGGCTGAGATTGCCGCAAAGTACGGGGCCCCTGTGTACCTGAGGAAGACACCAGAGTCAGCACTTCCGGGGGCAACGTCCAGCCAAGGACACATGACCAGCAGGGTCCCTAGAGCACCGTGAGGGACGTGGTCAGCAGCAGGGACACCGTGTGGTGGCTGGCAACCATCCCCATGCCATGCAGTGCTGGGAGGTGGCACCGGGCTGCTGGCTGCCCGACCACTGTGTGGGAGAGAGGCGGAGGTGACAACAGCTCAGGGTGGCAGGAGTCGCAGTGATGGGGAGCGAGGCCCTTGGGCCGCCTAGGACGTACGGCACCCAAGCTCCTGCTGCTCCGCCAGTCTGTGGCTCTTCCTGCTGGGGGCCAGGAACCCAAGCCTCGAGGATGCCGGGCATGGCCCGGAGGGGGCCCCCAGTGTCCGGCCATGCTGCACCTGCCTCATGTCCAACATCCTGCCTCAGGCATCACCCAGCACCTGCAACTGGGTGTGCTGTGCACTGCTGTAGTCCCAGACCATGGGAGGCCGAGGCAGGAGCATCCAATGCTCAGGTCGTGCCTGGGAAAGTTAGTGACTTAGCCTGACTTTGTCTCAAAACAAAACGAAAACGCTGGGGCTATAGCTCAGTGTGAAGGCCCTGGGTTCAAACCCCAGCATCACAATAGTAGAGCAGTCACTGTCACACTGTTTTAAGGAACAAGATCTGGTTCCAAGTTTACAATAAACGCACCTCATTACCTGGTAAGAAGTTGAAAGCAAAGAGCAGGCAAAGAACTGTCACATAAACGAGACAGCGATAGAAACAGCAGCCAGGGTGGAGCAGAAGTCAAAGGCAGACGGAATCGCCACACTCAAGGACAGACTCCAAAGGCCCAATGCATAGGACAAGAGAGAATGCGCACCTAGAGAGCCAGGGCCTGTCAGGCTGGGCGTCACGCCGGGCCTCCAGGGCCGAGTGCTTTACCCTGACTACAAAAGCAGGACGGGAGCCAGGAGAGGATGGTGAGACAGAAAACAAGCTGGCCGGAAACCACGGCCCCGCCACAGCTCCCGCACCAGTGGGCCACTGGGGTCCCTCCTGTGGGAAGCAGTGCCTGGCCTGCACTAGACAGGGATGGATGGATGGACGGACGGACGGACAGACGGACGGACAGGCAGGCAGCCGCGGCACTCACTCCTGACAGCCCCCCACGACGCCGATGCGGCCGTCCTGCCCTTTGTGTTTGCCGGCCGCCAGGGGAGGGACGATGTTCCTCACCAGCTCCAGGATGCCGTCCATCTCCTCCACTGAGTGTGCCGTGCACAGTGTAAACGTGCTCTGGAAAACTGAAAAGCAAGACGGAAGTCACCCCAAGGGGCAGACACCTGTGCACACACGCGAGCAGCAAAGGTGCACAATCCCACGGCCAGACGTCCCGCAGCTGACTTCCTGGGAGCTCTCAGGCTCTCACCCAAGGCTTCGCCATTTCTGTGGGCAGAGGGCGTCCTCAAAGTGCAGTGAACACCACATGCGGAAGAGACCAGCTTATTCTTGAAATGCGCCAGACATTTCAGAGGACCGCTTTCTGTCCAGGAAGTGTTTTATCAGCTAGGAAGCGCGCTGACCCCTAAGCAGCACCCAGCTCCAGCCTCCTGTACCAGGCCCTCTCCCCACACCCGGAACGCAAGCTCGGGGCACCATCCCCGTGACAGTCACAGGCCTGGCAGAGCCGCCACATTGCCTAACCCTACTCGTAACACCCCGGTGGGTGCTAATGACACAGAAGTGGCATTCGAAATGCAGTACACATTTAAAGGGGTTCAAGGTGGCATCTTAGAATAGCTGCACTGTTTTGAGCTGTCTCTCAGTAGCTACATTTCACTTACCCTTGCTTGAAAAGCTTAATGTACTTATACATTTTACCTTAATATTTAAAACAGTTCATATCAATAGATGCTGATATATTTTATAGAGCTCAATCCATGAATAAATAATAAAGCATATATTCCCCAGAATTAAGGGATCTCTGAAAACAGAAATATTTTCTCAGACAAGGCACCTGAGACAAGGTCTCACCATGTAGTTCAGGCTGGCCTTGAACTCCTGCCTCAGCCTCCCAAGTACTGGAATCACAGGCAGGCATCACACCTGGTGGCACTTGGTATCTTTATCCTGCCCAATGCAAGGCTGAAACAGGAGGCTACAGGCCAGCTAGGGCAACTCGGCCAGACCCTGTCTCAAAATACAATTTTAATTTATTTTATTTTTTTGGTACCGGGAATTGAGCTCAGGACCTTGCACTTTTGAGGCAGGCGGCAGCAGCACCAATGAGCTAAATCCCTGCACCCCTCATGAGCTTTTTTATCTTGACACAGGGTCTTGCTCAGCTGCTCAGGCTGGGCTGGAACTTTTGATCCTCCTGCCTGAGCTTCCCAGAGGGCTGGGACTACAGATGTGGACCACTGGGTCCCCACAGGTGTCTCCTTTAATAAGCAGATGCAGCCACCTTCCCTGGTGGGCCGGCTGCTCAGAGGCCAGGAGAAAAGGACGGAGTTGGCCACTGTCAGCCCGACTTCGTCTCCCCGACTTCTGAGCCCTGAGGCTCCGCGGCGCAGCTCAGCTTTGCACTCCCGAGCCAGGCTGTGGAAGGCGCCACCTTGGCTCGGGGACCCCCAAAGCCCCGGCAGCTTGGCGCTGAGCTGCCGGCTCTCTCCACACCGCTCCCCAGCACAAAAGCACCGGGGCTCCGCCTGACAACAACCTCGAGGTGAGCTGAGGGGCCAGGCCCCAAGCGCAAGCGCTCGGTCACAGCAGTGACAGCGGAAGTGTCCCTAGACGACATCCAGTTTCTCAGTGCGCAGGTCAGCCTGGCTGAGGGGTCAGGAAGAGATGAAGGATGCGGGGCTGCAGGTAGTCTTTAGGCTCACCTGTGAGCCACGAAATCCCAGGAAAAACAACGCAGTCGGATTCCCGTCCATGCATGCTGGACACGAACACTCACAGGTGAGGAACTTACCGAATGGAAACAACTCCTCAGTGCAAGGCTTGATGAACCCGATTTCCCCCACAGGCAGGCGTTTCTCGGGAAGCCTCTGCCCTGACTGAGGTCATCTACGCTCTAGCTTCAAAGAGCCCCTCCTGAGCTACTGCAGGCAGGTTACAGACACTCACTCTCCGTGTCAGCACGGCCAATCCACAAACTGATACTCAGCCTGCACTTTGCCACAACAGCTGGCACGAAACAGTTGTATCCATGGAGACCAGCAGCCGACAAGACAGCTGGTGAGAGGGCGGCCCAGGAGCGCGGAGGCGGTGCCCGTCCTCGCCCTGCAGAAGCCTCCGCGCAGCGCCACACCCACAGGGAAAACTGCGAGCAAGTAGCATGCGCATGCGCGACAGAGGCAGGCGGCGCCCGCACCCCGGGCAGGGCCCTGCCCTTTCCGCTCTGCGCCCCTGAAGGAAGCCCAGCACCCACAGTTTAAGGACACAAGTTTTAAAGCAAACCGTGGTTTTTGTTGTTAAACAAATAATGTGATCCCTTGCATCTTCCTTCCTCCCTTCACTTCCAGATAAGCTTTGTTAAAATGCTAAAATGCCAAGGGAACCAAAGACAAGAACAGCTCTTTGGCCACATTCTACGGCAGATGCTTTTTTGTGGTCGTTGTTCTGTTTTTTTTGAGACAAAGTCTCACTCTGTAGTTCAAGCTGGCCTTTAACTCACTAGGTAGCCTAGGGTGGCCTCGAACTGGAGGGTTGGAATTACGGGCATGTGCCACCACGACAGGCCAGGTTAAGTGTTTGAAGTTTCGGAATCACATTTATTGTGAGCCAAAAACGTCCCTTCTGATTAGGTAAAACCTCATAGCACATTCACGTAGCAAGCTCTGTGGGGCCCTAAAGGAAGTCCTGTTCCAAGCTGTCCCTTCCCCCACACAGAGGTGAGAGCCAGCGTGTGTGTGTAAACGTGACTGATATCACCTGCTCGGTCACAATCAGCCCACCTCTGCAAAATTCACCTCTCTCTCCTGTTGGGCCAAACATGTTAAAGCTTTGTTGGGAGCCAGGCAGAGTGGCGCATTCCTGTAGTCCCAGCACCTGGGAGGCTGAGGCAGGAGAATCATTCCATCCCGGGAGTTCAAGACCAGCCTGGGCAACACAGGAAGATCCCATCATAAAAAAAGAGGAAAAAGATGATGATTTTGGGATTTGGGGACAGCAACATCCTCTGAAAACAGAACTCCCTAAAGATTTGCACATGAGAAAAACTCTCAACTGCAGGCATCTTTGAATTATTCCAAGAGCATAATGCAGTGGTAACTTTCTGGCATGTAATTTTAAAAATTCAGGACTCAATCACCAAAAGTAAAGCAATTATGGTCATGTGCAAGGCTGTGAGACCCTTCTGGGACACGGACTCCACACTGCTGGGACTGCACTGAGAGGATCGCCGCCTCCCACCCTCCGCCCACCAGCGAGGTGTTTCCACTCCCACCCTGGGACTGAGGTGGTGGGCCTCAGTCTGGGTCGTAGTAGCCAGGATCAAAGCCTGGCAAGGATAAACGATAAATGTGTGGTGAATCAGAGGGATAGTGGTTCACACTAACAGCCACTTTTTCTTTGACAAATAAGGAAACCGATGCCCAAAGAGAGACCTATGAAAATGCTAGTTAGTAATGGACATTCGGGACCAGGGATTGAACCCGGGGCTTTGCACATGCAGGCCAAGTGCTCTACCAATGAGGTACTGTCCCCAGCCCTATTTGACTTTTTGATACTGGGGATCAAACTCGGGGCTTTGCGCTTGTGAGGCAGGCGGCGGAACCACTGAGCTAAATCTCTGGCCCAAGCCCTATTTTATTCTTAACACAAGGTCAGGCTAAGTTGCCCAGGCTGGGCTAGAATGTATGATCCTTCTGCCTCAGCCTCTCAATTCGCTGGGCAGGCAATACCATTTTACCAAAATGCTGCCACTGGCAGGCAAAACACATTTTTCTTCAACCAAATTATTCACCCCACTAACCAAAAAAGTCAAATCTTTCTCTCAAATGTCCTCTGAAACCACTTGGAGAGAAAATAAATTATTGTCAAGAAGTACAGCATTTTAACTGAACTGTATGAATGCAAAGTAAAACCTAAACCACCCACCAGCATTCTGTCCTATTTACCTGAGACAAACAGCTTCTGTTAGGAAAAGGCCAAAGAAAGGTCAATGAAATGTCCCAACACTTCACAGTGCAGCAAGTTTCAGCTGGCTTCCAGCCACATGCCACCTGGATTATCCATGGAAGCATTTCAATACAAACACCATTCTGGGTCTGGTAGAACAGGTCAAATCTGTTTGGGGTTTGTCGGTTTTAAAGACGAGAGGCACTGGTTCCTTGTGCCAAAGGTGCTTTAAGTTAAGGTGAATTATAAGCTAGCACACGTGACAGCGATCCTGAAGCTAACCCCAGGTAGCTTCAAGGTTCTAAAGCCTAGAACTCTACTTGCTTTTTGGTAAACTGAGCAAGTCAACCTAATAATGAAACTTCAAAAAAGCATTGTAATTTAAGGCAAATAGCTATAAAAAGAAAAACTAAATAAGTGGCGCTTAGAAACCCCCTTGCTGGTGTGGCTGAGCTATAGATTCCAGAACTCCCTCCTCTTGTATAATTCAGGACTTGCAGGGCTGCACGACAAAAAGCCACAAACAATGCCTGGCAGCTACAGACTGAGCAGTCTCAGCCTCCAACAGCAAACTGTCCCTTTCACCATCCCCAGCACTTTCCTGCTGGGGAATGGTGGCTGATCGCTTCCTCAGGAAGATCACCAACACTCACTTTCTATACAAAGATGGAAAACAGGTCTCTGGCCTTTTTTTTTTTTTGGTACCGGGGATCGAACTCGGGTCCTTGCGCTTGAGAGGCAGGCAGCAGAACCACTGAGCTAAATCCCCGGCCCTCTCTGTCCATCTTATGAAAAATGAGATACTACAATGCACTACATGTAAGTGTTAGATGAATTAATATTCACAGGATAAACGGAAGAAGAAAAGGCCATACCAAGGTGTGTGACTCGATTCTTCCTATGTACTCTGTCCTATCTGAAAAGGCATCTCAGAGTACAGGGACCTACTGAGGAAATTTCAGGTCCAAGAGCGGGGGCGGGCTCGGGGGATCTGGTCACCCGGGCTAACGGCCTCCGCGAGGACCCCCCTGGTGCACTCGCCCAGGCCGGGGCGTCCACCTGGGCCAGGACCTTGCGGGCTTTGCGCCCAAGCAGCCCGTCACTGGCCTGGTGCTTCAAGCCCGGAGGGAGACGCTGCCCAAAGCCCCTGGCCTGCGCGGCCTGAACGCGTAGCTCAATTCGGCAACTGGCTGGCACCGTCCCGGCCAGGGAGCGGGGCGAGCGCGGGGCCCGGCCTGCGCCTGCGCCACAGGTCCCGGGGCACACAAGCGCGCTCGCCCTCCCCGGCCGCGGAGGGGCGCACGAGGCCGGCGGGACACATGGGCTCGGCTCTCCGGGCCAGGCCGCCCGGCCGCGTACCTGAGTCCAGCGGCGGGCCAAAGAGTGCGAGCCCGGCCGAGAGCAGCGCCACGACGGCAGCGACGGCCACTGCAGCGCGGGCCCCCAAGCGAAAGGCCATCCTCGGGGAGCCCGGATCGATTTACCTCGCCCGCAGGTCCGGATTGCCACACAGCGTAGACCCATGGCCATCCAATGGCTTTCCGGGTTCCCGACGGCCACCGCACCGCCACCTAAGCCGCAGCCATTGGCCCTTTTTCTGGCTCTGCTGATAGCCCCAGCCAATGGGCTTCCGTCCCGGTATCCCAGTACACCCTGCGCCGCGGTTTGAGCCCTCGGTTCCCGGCGGCCCTAGCGCTCGCAATTCGCGGAAGCTGGGAGCCTTCACCAATCACAGCCGGTGACAGGCGATTGATTGACAAGCAGGACGCCCAACCCGGCCCATTTTTATGTTTTTTTGTTTTTTTCCATTACTCAGGACCTTGCTCTTGCGAGGCAGGCGGCGGCGCCACTGAGCTAAATCTCCCGCCCCTCCTCCTTTATGGTCATTTTTAAATCACGGTCTTTATAGAAAATGATTGAGTTAGAAGACTCCCCAGAAAACAGGTAGAGTGATAGATCTTTTTGTTTTGTTTTTTGGTACGGGGATTGAACTCGGGTCCTTGTGCTTTCGAGGCAGGCGGCGGAACCACTGAGCTAAATCCCTGGCCCCAAGGAGTGATAGATCTTTTGCAGATGAGAAGGGTCCCAAGACATGGAAGGGAGAAGGAGGGGAAGGGGAAGTAAAGGAAATTAGGATGTGTTATGTTCATGTACCAGCTCCCCACTAGGGATGTGATCGTTATGTACTGCAAAAATCAATAGTTAAAAAATAGCTCAAGCTGGTGGCTCACGCCTGTTATCCCGACCCTCGGGAGGCTGAGGCAGAGGGATCGCTGCAAATTCAAGATCAGCCTGGGCTACATAGTAAGTTCGAGACCAGCCTGAACTACTTGGAAAAACCCTGTCTCAAATAAATAAAATTGCCTGCATTTCTATATATTAATAATGAACAATCTGAAAAAGAAATTAAGGAAATAATTCCATTTATTATAGAGCAGCAGTAAATAAACACATGTAAAATCTATGGCTATAAATTGAAGCGAAGTGCAAAAGATTCATTCTGAGGTCATGGTGTGGAGGGTACAAAGCGGAGCACTGCCACACAGGTGTGGGAGTTTGGCAAGATGCTGGTCATCGTCTTCCAAATTGGCAGAAAGCTGGGGGAAGGGCTTGAAATGTCCCCACCACACCCTCAGGGCCCTGGGCTGCCACTTGCTGCCCTGCCAGGGCCTCAGGACCCTCTTCTGTGGACGCTGGCCCTTGTCCTTGGTGGTTGGGCTATATCCGGCATCAGGGAGGAGGAAGGAGGGAAGTGGAGTGCAGGTGGGCGCTGTCAGCAACCCCCAGTGAGGTCCACAGCCCTCCTCGCTGCAAGGGAGCTGGGCACCAGTGTTCCTGCCAGTGCAGCAGTTGTCACTCCACTCGGAGTTGGAGTCTGTTACTGGGGGGACAGGGGGAGCAGATTCGGGACACAGTGATGTTCCTCTCTGTGACTCAGCACCATGGAGACAAGGGATTTCTGAGAACCGGAAGGCCCCAAATGCTGTGACCCTGCCCTCCATACCCCCAGCACTCGCCCCTGGCTCCAGCTTTGGGGAACTGCATGTGGCCATGGGAAGAACCTGTCCTTCCTTTGAGTCCACACACACATGGCTGGAAGGGGGTCGTTCACCTCCTTTCCATCTGGGTCACTGTCCTGGTCCCCACAGGTTAGCACATGCTCCCCACCCCAGCCCCAGCCCTTGGCTGACCTTTGCCAGATCCTCCTCCCACTGCCAGCCCCGGCTCTGGATCAAGGTTATTGGAAGCTTTGCCATGTTGTGCAGACAGACACAACAGTACACAGTCTGGCAGTAGAGGACTCCTGTCCTGCCCTGCCCCAAGGTTATATTTCCTCTAAAGTGGCCCTGCATCAGGCCAGAGGAGGAAAGATACCAGGAAACAACATCTTTCCAAGGTTCAAACAAAAAGCCAGGCATGGTGGGACACACCTGTCATGGCAGCACTGGAGAGGCTGAGTCAGGAGGATAACTGTGAGTTCAAGGCCAGCATGAATTACATAGTGAGATCTTTCCCCCCAAAACCAAACAAGAATAAGAAACAATACCTTTCCAAAGGTGAAATGAACCATCAGATGATATTGCATATCTGTATGTAGGCTTTTTAGTATTTACTCACAAAACTTGAAAAAATATTTAAAGCTGAAACAATCCTTAATTTTACAGAGTTAAGAGGAGTAACTGAAGAGAAAGAATCAAACATTGAGCAAGCATAAAGAGACCATAATTAACAGAGCACTGTTGAAGAATTTGCTTCTTGCCAGATGTGGTGCTGCAGCCTGTCATCCCAGCGCTCTGGGAGGCTGAGGCAGGAGGATGGCAAGCTGGAGCCAGCCTGGGCAGCCCAGTGACTTAGCGAGGCTCTGTGCCGCAGTTAAAATGTAAAAAGGACTGGGGTTGTAGGTCTGTACAAAGCCCCTGGGTTGAATCCTGAGTACAGAAGAAAGGGGGGGAGGGGGGAGAGAGAGAGAGAGAGAGAGAGAGAGAGAGGGAAAACTAGAAAGGTGATCTCAGCTCGGAGCAGAACACTCACAGCTCACAGCATTGCTCAGTCATACTTGTCCTGCTCTGGTCACCCGGAGCATCCTGGGATTTCTGTTTGGTTAGTGTTTGGCGCCCTCTACTGTCCCTGGGTGACTATGTTTGAGGCGTCGCCCTGCTGGAGACCAGGAGACAGTGGGACCCATACATAATGCCCACAGATTGGCCCAGAGCTAGTACAGTGGACTCTCGAGTTACGACCAGCCTGAGGTATGTTCATATGTACCTCAGGCTATGGCTGGCATTTTAGTTTTAACCTACGACCAAAGTCTTTAGTTGCGACCTGAATGCCGGCCACTCGTGCTTCCAGATGGTCTCAGATACAGATCTAACCCTTAGAGAGCTCTGGAAGGAACATTACAGCATCCTCTCCTGTGTGGGGCTAACTGAGGAATCCTGGGCCAGTGTCTCTCCAAGGACACTGAGATTTGCCTGTGTGCAGGAGAGAGACTTTGCAGGCTGTGTAGAGGAGCCTGAGCCTTCACTGACCAACTTGAGTTGAAACTGGCCCTCGGGAATGAATTGAGTTCGTAAGTCAAGGGTCCACTGTAACTCAAACCCCTGCTGTTGGCTGTCACCACTGCAGTGCAGTCAGGCGGTTTGTTCATAGGTCTCAGTTTTCCCACTTCCGGTTGAGATGTTGCTAAGTTAGCGTCACCCCTGAAGGAGGGTGGGGCCACCCCCAGCAGTGGGCATGGCCTTTGAGGACAACTGGGCCTCCCACCCCTCGGGGGATGAAGGAAACCTGGAGGATTCCTCTGAGACCCCAGCCAGAGACCCCGCCAGTCCCAAGCTGTAAAGCCGTGTGGGGAGCTGAGGCCTGGGCAGAAGGTCCAGGGCCACCCCTGGGGGCTGGAAGGAGCAGTTAGGCCACTGGTTGGTGCCTGCCTAGCAGTGGCTTTGGAACTGCAAAACTCTTCCTGTCCTTTTTGTGTGGGTGCTGTTTCATCCGGGGCCTTAACTGAGAAGAAAAGTAGGAAGATTTCCTTCCCTTAAATCAGGTCTCAGCCGAGGTGGGAGGGCTTTAAAGAGCATGTCCTCTCCATAGGTCACTGGGCCGAGGGCCTGCCTCAAAAGAACAGAGGCCCTGAGATGTGACCACATGTGTGTTGCACGTTGAGGCTGTCATTCTTTTTTGTTCTTGTTTTGTTTTTTTGGAGACAGGTTCTCATTCTGTAGCCCAGGCTGGCCTTGAACTTGTGGAAATCCTCCTGCCTCAGCCTCCTGAGTGCCAGGATTACAGGTGTGCACCACCACGCCCTGCTGAAATTTATCTTTTTTCTTTTTTTTTTTCCCCCGGTACCAGGATCGAACTCAGGACCTTGTTCTTGCAAGGCAGGCACAGTGCCACTGAGCTAAATCCCCAGCCCTGAAACTTAACTTTTTAAAAAACACTCAGTGTAATCACCTGGAGATTCCCCCAGGCTGCTACTCCCATCAGCAGCTGGTTCTCCGTTGTGGAGTGATGCTCCATGGCTCTCGTGGGCCAGAATTCACTCAACCCTTTGCTCCTGGGGGGTTTCTGGGGTGTTCTCCTGCAGGCATCATGTGAGGTCTGCAGCTCTCGGGGATCCACGAGGCAACTGCGGGTCATCAGGGTCTCCACACGTCTCCTCCAAGGCTGAGGTTGTGCCTTGTCCCAAGAAGCTCATGCTGTGAGCTTTCTGTTCCTCTTCTCCTCGGGCCCGTTCGTTCTTTCCTTCATTCATCCATTCATCCGCCCCCAGCTGCCTCCTCTTTGCCAGGGACAGATGGATGAAAAAGCTTTCCATGTAACTCGTCCTTGGGTGCCTGTCTGTCATCCCAGCACTCTGGGAGGCTGAGGCAGGAGGATGGCAAGTTGGAGTCTAGTCTGGGCAACTTAGCAACTCAGTGTGCCTGTGTCAAAATAAAAACTAATTTAAAAGGGAACACTGCAGATATAGCTCAGTGCAAGGGCCCTGGGCTCAGTCCTCAGATCCACAAAAATAAATGAATAAGAGCAAAGGAGAGAGGGGACCAATTTCAGCACTGCCTGGCTTGTGCCTTCCGTGTGGAGCCCACACCAACCCCACTGCTTCCCTGCAAACTCCTATTGAACCTTAGAGGCCCTTTCAGAAAGTGCTCTCCTGTCTGGCTTCCTGCCCACTCTCTGCTCTCTGACTTCTTCCCCCCTTACCAAACCTGTTTAGTCATACCCTAAGGTCTATGCTGTTGGGACAGAACCAGTGTCACCCTGCACCCCAGCATGGAGCCCAGCGCCTGGCCCAGGAAGGTAACCTAATACATGATATCACCAGGCCTGGTGGCGCACACTTGTTATCCCAGCACTTGGGAGGCTGAGGCAGGAGGAGCACCTTGAGTTCAAGGCCAGCCTGAACTGCACAGTGAGACTTTGTCTCAAAAAAATTATTATTTTATTTATTTTTAATTTTGTTGGTCACTTTTGATCACATTCATCATAGGGGATTTGTACCTATACATAATATGTGGTTTTTTTTTTTTGGTACTGGGGATTGAACTCAGGACCTTGTGCTTGCGAGGCAGGCAGCATAACCACTGAGCTAAATTCCTGGCCCTCAAACTTGCTTTTAAAGTTTT